CCCCGCCGCCGGCAGCAGGGGCGCCCCGCAGTCCCAGAGCACCCAGCTGCGGTGGGAGACTGCGGTACGGCCCGGGAGAAGGGCTGTGGCTCCTCAGATCAGGCCGTTCAAACGGGTGATCTCTCTTTCTAGAAAAGAAAAAAAAAAAAGTCTTACAAGTCAGAGAAAAGGCTGAAAGCAGAGGCCAAGCCTTCAAAGGTGACAGAAGGACAAGGCAGTGAAGAGGAGGGCATGTTCCAGGTATGGGGGGGGGCAGGGATCTGCTCTCGGACCGCAACTTCCTCGTCCTCTTTATACAGATCATCTCTGCCTCCTCTGCTTGAGCAGAGCATTTTTACAGCTGAGGTGGCCGCCTGGGCTGCCTGCTGGCCCTCCGCTAGTGCTCTGGCGTGTTGAGTGTCCCAACAGGTCTACGAGCTGAGGAGCAGCTTGTTGCGGGGCTGGGTTTAACAGACTCTGTGTCGCCATAGATTGGGAAGATGCGTTATGTCAGAGTGTCCTGCTTCAAGGGGAAAGCCCTCGTGGACATCAGGGAGTTCTACACTGACAAGGAAGGCAGCGTGAAACCGGGCAGGAAAGGTACAACTGCATTTGCCGGGCGCTGCACCTGCTTCTCCTGCTCTGCCTTAGCCCGTCTCCCTTGGTGGCAGGTTAGCCTGTGCGTGCCGCGCTGAGGGACCGGGGAGCTGAGCAAACCGCAGGGGAGTGTTTAGCGCTTTCTCAGCCTGGGTGGCAACAACTGAAGAGCACAAAGAACGAGTGAGTGAGAGCCTCCAGTGAGAGCTGGAGTTTGGCAGGACCGCTCTGAGAAGCAGTGCAGGGAGCTGCGGTGCAGGACTCTGGTTCTGCCTCTGATCACCAGTCCTTTCTCTGGCTGTTGGCAGAGGCAGAGCTGCATGGTGGAGGAGGGGAAGCTGAAAACACTGGCTCTGATGTCACTTCCTTGTGTCCTGCTAGCTGACAAACTCATGTTTTGGTACTGGTGATGCCTAGGGCAAAAAGGTCTCATTTTGTGTGTTTGCCCCTAATCTGTAATGGTGGAGCTGTGCTTGGTGGGAAGAGCCTCCCAGAAGTAAATCCACCCTTCCCTATCTAGGTGGAGACAGGAAGGTTAAGAGCCTTCTGGATCCCTACCAGGAGACTCCAGTGCTGCTGTGTTAGGTGTTCCTTACTCTTTTGGCAAGGTGTCTGCTGCCACAACTTGGGTGGCCCATCACAGCAGTACTACATGAGTGGGTGATGCAAGCAAAGGCAGCTGCAGAAGGCTAGACACATTTTTTTCCAGAGCTTCTCAGCTGATGAGTCAATATTTAACTTAGGACTTTTGCTTTGGGACTTTGACAGTGGCTTGCCTCATAGTTCACAGGGCCTGGACTCTTTTCACCTGTCCTGTATTGTTGTGCCCAGCAAAGATTCAGTTAACACGGTTTCTTTTGGTCCCTGCTATAGATTTTTGTGTCAGGACAGACAAATTTGTTTCAGTTCAGTTTGCTTCATAACCACTAAGCATGGTTTTTCTCCCAGAAATTAATTTTCTTCAGAGAAGTTACAAGTATAAATTACTCAGAAGGAACTGTGTACCCTGTAATGAAAATGGGAACCAAAGCTCTCAAGCTTTTCTGTGCCTTTGGGGGCAAAGAGGGAAAGGAGCACTGTGGACTTTTTCCAGGCTGGAAAAAGCAGACCCACAATATAAGACAGAAGGATCTATCAGTTAAAACAGAAATAATGAAGAAATGTTTTTTTTCATTTAAATGCTGCCTCTGCTGTTTTTGTCAAGAGTCTAGCCCCTGATCTTTATCTAGAGAATTTAATAGAACTTAGGCCCTGGTTCTTTAATGTGATTCTTAACGAAGCCAAAAGGAGTAAGTTGACAACAGCTATCTGGAACCCAACACAGCAATTTCACTACCATGTTTGTTTTGTAAGGGAGAGGGACAGGACATCAAGACCTTATCTCTGCTGGATCTAAAAAGCAGCCAGTTCTTCTCTAGTGTTTAAGCCATCCTAGTGATTTCTTGTTAGCAGGTTTTTTTAAATAGAGATACAGTTGGCATTATTTCCTTTGGCCAGTTGAAAGGATAGTGTCCTAACTGCTGTGTGAAGTAAGGTTCTCCTAGAATTTCTTGTCAGTTCATGTGCGTGGGAATTTGTGCTAGGGAATAGGCTATAAGGGGCTGTGGGAATCTTGAAAGGCAATTTGAGTTTATATTCTCATATAGCGCTTATGTGATAGCATTGAGAACTTCTTGATGTGGATGCTGCAGTGCTGGCACAACTGCCACGCTTAGAAGGCTGCTTCTGTTTCTGGTCTGTGCCTCTGCCTTAGATTCCAGCTTCCCCTTCTGTAGGTAGTCTGGAGGAGCCAGTCTGGTGTGCTACTTGATGTGTACCCCTTGCCACCTCTGAAATGTTTCCTTCTGCTGTTTTTAGGGATTGCCCTGTCTGCAGAACAGTGGAACCAGCTGAAGGAGATTGTTCCTGAGATTGATGCTGCAGTCAAGAAATTATAACATGAATAATCTTGGATGCCTTCAACCTGTTTCCTTTCCCTTAAGTGCACTGAAAACTGTAAAGCCAAGGATTCTCATCTGGAGACTTCCCCTAACCTTGCTGGGGTTTCATCACTGAGGTGGTGGTCATGCTGAAAAGACCAGAGACTTCTGTTTTCAAGAAGTAGCTTGTAATGAGCACCTGGAACTAGAGCCAGTGCTGTGAAGTAAGACTTCAGCACCTCTGGTGCAGACTCGAGGTCTGTGCTGGTGAGGGACATGACCCCGGCCTGGCTTTCCAGGGTTGGATGGCTTCAGTGTGCCTCGTGAAATGCTTTAACTTCTCTACCTCTGTTACTGTCTTCTGCTCGGTTGAATGTTGAACAAGACGGTTTGTATACCTCATTCTCTGTGTTTCTTCCACATGCCATTGTGGCTATTTCAAGTACTGTCTGTATTGGTGAGGGTTGTTTGGTGTTTTTTTGGTTGGGTTTTTTTTTGAGTGAAGAAAGGGATTATTATACTTTAGCAACTGGTTTGTCTGTAGAGGGTGAATATGCACAATAAATGTATTTGCATTATAAAAAGGAGAGGCATAGTGTTTCACAGGCTGGCACCTCAACTTTTTGTTTCAGGCACCCTTCTTTTGTAGGTTGCTGCTGGATTTCCCTTTCAGGAGAGTGCTTTGTACTGTTTATTCTCATGATACGTTCCCAATAATCCTGCTATACAAAAGCAGTCAGACAGCAGTCTACTCCAGGTCATGGGAAGGGCAAGCTAGAATGTGAATCTTTCAAAGGAACTGGTAATTAGGATGCCTATTAAATAGAGGGGAAATTAAAGGCCTAAGGAGGAAAAAGAATATTCCTTTCCCCATGGCAGAGAAAAATGTCAAGCTGTGGAAAGAGTGAAGAGAGGATATTTTATGCTTGAGCTCTAAATGGATCCTGCTCTGGGATGAACTGCAGCAAGCACAGCCTTCCTCAGCAAGACTTTTCCAGACTTTTCAACAGCTTGCGTCTTCCGTCTATTTTTGGTTTTTCTCTTGCCCTGGTTTCCATAGTATCTGAATGCTTCATGCTCTTAAATATATCGTGACACTTGCAACACCTTGGTGAAGTAGGAGGTACTAAGCCCCTTGCTCTATAGAGGTGCTGGGGCTGTAACAGCTCAGGGTTGTGTGGAAGATACGGGGTGGAGCAGTGAATTGAAACTAAGCTTTCCTAAATGCTGAATTTGTAACTGCTCAGTTAACCTTTCACTAGGGATAGCAGGAGAAAAAAAATTAAATTTCTCCATAAAACTGTCTCTTAAAAAAGGGCTCAGTGCTGTAGCTGCTTGGAGCAGGGGTGGAGATGGGTAGACGTGATGACTGAGGCATTCTCCTCTAGTCCTGTGTTCAGCCATTCTCTATTCAAGTGTCACATTACTTTCTCAACTATGTGAGAGAGAGCGTGAGGATAGTAGATGGTGTCCTGAAGCCAGGTTGCTCATGCCATAAACTTATTCCCATGGAGTATTTATAACATGTCTTAATACAGTGTTCAGAGACTAAAGATAATGGGAAGATAAAGAATTTACAAAAAAGAAAGAGATGGAAGAGAAGCGAATAGTGGGGGTATGAAGCCAAGATGCTAGGGATGCTCATTTCTTTTGTCCCAGCCCTGGGGTACCCGGGCTAAAGCATGTGACAGAAACAACCACCTCTGCGCACAATGCATGCTCCAGGGGTGTTTAGGGGGCAGAGGGAGAATCCAGATCAAATCAGCAGAGTTTAATATCTTTGCTGATTAAAACCAGGTCCAAACTGAATTTGATCAGCTCAGTTGAATACTGCATGGTTCTAGAGCTGATAAGTGGCTTCCCCTTAACTGGGAAAGGGGGGCCATGTTTCATTGTTTTCTGACTAGCTTTCTTTCAAGTGTTGGAAGAAGTGGTTTGAAAACAACCTAAACTTTTTGTGTAACAGGCAACAAGGCTTTTTTTTTTTTTTTTAATCATCAAGTAACAGCTGCTCTTGATCACAAAGATATCAGGAATCTTTGATGTGCATTTCCAATCTGCCTACTGCTATAGACAACTTCTGGTCATAAAATCCACAAGCTTTAAATTTAGGTTGGTTTTTTGTTTTTTTTGTTTTTTTTTTTTTTTCAAAGTTAAAATACGAAAAAAGCCTAATTTTAAACTGGTTGGAATAACATATCCTATGAAAGGTCAATGCAAGGTCTTGGTAAACAAGAGAAGATGAAAGTTTATAGCAAGTTGTAATCTTTTACACAGAGAGGGTGTTTTTGTTGTAGACTGTTAATCTGTCTGTTTTGGAGCGTTTTTTTCTGCAGAACCTTTTGCTCCAGACCAGAGACAATCACATTACAGGAATAAACTTTTTATCTTCTTGAGATACTATATTGTTGCTTGGAAATTTTCTGCCAGGACTGTCTTAACTAGTCCTTTGGCTCTTTTACCTGGGGAGCAAACAGGTAAAGGAAGGCAGATTATCTTGAAGAATGCTTGATATATCCTTCCCCTCCTTTTTTTCTGGGCTGCTGTGAAGATTTCCTGCCTCAAGTGCTGTCTCCTAGGAGATGTGGAACTTCAGAGCTCCAGCTTATATTTTCTCCATTCCTTGATGCCTGCCTTTAGGAGCTGGAAGGAAAGGGCAGGTGCTCCTAAAGGCTGAGTGTATCTTGTTGTTCCTGTGTCCTTTGTTTGAGCCCTTCTCAAATTTGGGCCACTGGACTGGACCTCTTCACCTTTTATCTTAAGCTTACCCTGTCTAAATCCAAACATTCATATGCCACAAGAAGCCAGGAAAGTATAGATGTGTTTAAACACCTTGGGTATTTTTACTAGCAAACGTCTCTGTAGAAGAGAAATTTCTTGGGCACACAATGTGGTTTTCTTTTTCAATTCAAAAATTTCTTTTTTGAAGCAGTGTCTCAGGTTTGGGCAGAATCTGTTCCTTCATCCCTCGGGAATCACACATCTGAGCTCTGCTGTGCCCCTTCTAGCTCTCCCTTGCAGCCTCCTCAGTGACAGATGCAACATGTTTCTTCTTCATCTGAAAAGTGACCTGTCATTTCCCTTTTTCACTCTCTCTTGGTGCTATGACTATCTTTTATCTACCCCTTAATCCTGTTACTGTGGTATATTTCTGTGTCCAGCTCTATAAACTCTTTCCAGGTGCTGATTGACAGCTGTTCTATTTTTCATTTATCAGCAGTGTTTTCATGTCTGTTTTTCTCTGCTGCAGTTGGGGTGATTATATGTCCATTCGTGGACTCCAAAACATAGATCTTTCCTTCTAAATAGACATTTTCCACCTGAGGCAGTGGGCCCCTTGAGCTGTAACATAAGCTGAGAGCAGCAGCTCGTGCTGCAGCAGCTAACATGAAAAAGCAGGCTAGGCATGGAAAAGTGCTTGAAAACATTACTTGTTTAGCTATGATTCATCCAAGGTGAGGTTTGCTGCTGTTGTGATAAAGATTTCTTGGTTTTAAGAACGCCTTATCTGTTTGCAGCTGTTAAGAATGAGAACAGCTTGGCTTGTCACAGGTTTCCCAGCTGATGCATCTGTGGCTTCTGAATAGATGGCAGATCTCTGCAAGAGATGTAACTAGAAAATCTGTCTGGTGTGGGGAATTCTGTGGGTTTTAGGGTGAATTTTAGGAGCGGTACCATCCTCAGACACAGGGCAGCTCCACAGCAAGAGTCTTGAGACACCTTGGAATGGTCCCTGGGTTCAGGCCAGGCTCCAAAAAGCTGAGGCTCTTTGTGAGTCCATTTCAGTAAAAAGCCTGGATGCAAATTCCAGTCTCTTGTATCTGCTGGACTTTAAGTTCTGGCAGCTCCCCACACAGGTGAGGACATAGCCAGGGCTGGAGAAGGACGGGTGCAGAACTCTAGCTTGCTCTTCTGAGCACGAGAGAGGAGGAATGAATCCACAGTGGTTTCCTACGGAGGGCCAGCATGTGCCTCTGGTTCTGCAGGGGCCGTCTGTCATTCTTGCCATGACTTTAGCTTGGGAGCCAAGTGGGTGCTCATACATGAACAGTGAACAGTACCTCCATTCCTCCCTCTGCTCCCTAGCATTGGGACACCACTTCCCTTTGATAACCCACCCTCTTCTTCCTAACCTTTCCTGCACAGATATCAGCATTGAAACCTGCTGCAGGTATCTCCTGTTGCAGGGGCTTGGAGTCAGCTCTCCACTTTCTGAGTAAAATCAAGCATAACAGACCTGGTTAGTATTTGAGCCAGTGCCCTGGGGTGTGAGCTGAGTTAGTATGTGGGGCACTGTGGGGAAAAGGCAGGAAGGAGGATGGGACTTGGGCAGCCAGCAAGAGGGCAGTCTCCTGAGTCGGGCTGCTGTGTGGGCACGTGGAGCTGTTGTCGCACTGGGTGTGTGTTGGATAGCAGGGTCCTCTCCTCCGCTCACCGCCTCCGTCGGTCTGCAGGAGCCAAGGGCAAGAGTGGTGGGAGATGGCGGAAAGCTCCTACTGGAGACTAAGCAAGGGGAAGAGAGGCTGTGTTGTGCCTGCACCATGGTCCTTTGTAAAGCCTCGGGCCTGGCGTATTCAGCAGAGCTGAGCGTTGGGCTCTGCCCAAGCTACCTCTGCAAACAACCTCTTCCCTTCTCCCAGCACGAGGGTGCAGGAGTCCGTTCATCTTCAGAGACACTGGGGCAGGATGATGGGATAAACTGCATGGCGTGATGACAAGAGCTGTGCGTGCTGCAGAGGAAATGCCCTGTGGGATACAGGTGGTGCGTGGCTGCGGGCAGCGGAGCCGGGCTGTGCCGTGTCCCCGCAGCTGCGGTGCTGGGGGCCGCTGCTCCGTGAGCACAAGCTTTGGGTGTCCTGTGCCTCAGCATCGCCTGGGCCTAGGAGGTGGAGCAGAGCGGGGACAGCGTGGGCCACCTGGGCTGTGCTGCTCAGAGCACTGACATCTCCTGCTGCCTCACGCCAGAACTGGAGGAGCTGGCGGGAGAGCGATCCACATCCTCACCGAGGAGTCGCCTCTGACCCTGGTAGCAATAATGGCTGCTTCAGCACGGACACGTGAGCAGCTGCCAGCCATCAGGCAAAGCCTGAACAGACCTGGCTGGAAACACCTCGGCCAAGGCATTGTTAGGAGGGGGCTGAGCTTCTCAAAAGAAAGGGGGCTTTGCCCAGGAGGGCCTGGGGCAAAGGCCTAGGCAGGGTTGTAGACCTGGGGCTCCCCGTTGCAGCTAAGCCCCCCCTCGGACTGGTACTTGTGGCTGTGCTCACCGCCCTGTTGCAGGTTCTTCACTTTGGGGGAGGGCTGTGTTAGGAAATTTTCTGCTTTAAGTAATTTATTTTCCTCCAGACCCTGGCTCTGAGACACTGAGAAAAAGGGGCAAAACCCCAATTTCTGTTGTGGACGTGGAAGGGCACTCCGTCTTGTCTTTTGTTAGCAATACAAGAGCAAGCTCTTATTTTGGAAGAAGCTCCGGTGCCTGATTTCCTGGCAGCTGATGACAATTTGTCCTTCTGAGATAAGTACCAGGTGCTACGAATAATACCTCCCACGCCCGCTGAGCAGCGGGGCCTCTCCGCCGTGCTTAGAGCTCTCCCCCGCTCCCAGGGCCGCGGTGTTTCCAGAACTTGGGCCCTAAAATACGCCCCGAGAGAGACAGGCGCTGCCTCCTCCGGGCCCCCGGGGCGCGGCCGCAGCTGCCGCGTCTCCTCGTCCGTGGCCGCCAGCGTCTCGGTGGCTGATCGCAGCTCCACTCCCTGGCACATGTAGAGCAAAGCCTGCAGGGATCTTACAGTAAGTACCTTGAAGGCTGTCAGTGCTCAGCCCGGGCC